CAACAAAAAGCCACAACAAACCAAAAAAAGCCACAACAGAAATGACCGCGGGACTCGATTTTAATACAAACGCCACAACACAAACGCAAATGCAGCAACACATTAAAAAGCCACAACGGAAGGAATCGCGGGACTCTATTTTCTGACGAACCGATCAAGCGGCAAGTGAAGAAGAAGAACTACAACGTGAAACGAATAATGATAAAACAATAAATTACTTTTACTTACGTTTCCAACTTCTCCGTTCCTTTACTTTTCCCACGGTCATTTCCGTTGTGGCTTTTTAATGTGTTGTGGCTTTTTAATGTGTTGCGGCATTTGCGTTTGTGTTGTGACGTTTGTATTAAAATCGAGTCCCGCGGTCATTTCCGTTGTGGCTTTTTGCTGTGTTGTCGCATTTGTATTTGTTGCGCCGTTTGCGTTTGTCGTGACCCCTCTCGGCTTCCGTACCTTGTGACTCCCAGTCCTAACTGAGAATATCGTAATTAACAGGTTTAATAAAGTAGGTTTGATAGGAAGAGACACAAACAGCCCAGCAGACCTTTTTGTTGAGGCAGTACTGTGAACAAATATGCTTAACTCTTTCCCCCCTGGACGCCTACTAGGAACAACCCATACATATGTTACTAGTTCTACCCATAGAGCATAATTGCATAAAAGAAAACAGACTTCCACGAGTGATTATAAATGTTTTTTACACTCATGAACTTAATTGTAACACAGACATATTTGTATCTCTGGAAACCTTAGACTCTGAACTCTTCATTTATGGATGTTTAAATGTGATTCAACTCATTTATAGGTGTTTAACAGCTCACTGAAAATGAGAGTTTACCTGGTCAGGTGCAAACTCGAAAACAAAAAACTACATTCAGCATCTGATATATACATGTTCTGAGTACTATATTCATAAAAAAATAAAAAATATACTTTGTCAAAGTATTTAAACAGATTTCATATCACCAGATACAGTATAGCCAAGTGTGCACCTGTTTTTACCTGTTGTTCACCTGTGTGCACCCCAGATATTTTTTTTCCATTTAACTTATTCAACTCATTTAGCTTATTCAACTTATTGTATTTATTCAACTCATTTAGCTTATTCAAGTAATTTAGCTTAATATAATATGATAATATAATAATAAAACTCTTCCCCGTCAGTGTGTGTCCAGTATTTGTCATCTTGGTTATTTTCTCGTGTGCAGAGCTCCACATAAGCGTTTTTTCTGTAGCGATTCTGTTATACATCGCATCTTGGAAAAAAAGACTGAAATATTTTAAAGGACTGGCCTGGGCAACATCCAGATTTCAGGGCAATTTTGGTTCATAATCGAGTATAAAGCTCAGATAGTTTGTTGGGACATCGCAGGACTCCACACAGACGCATCAGCGACATTCTCACCTTCTCCCCGAAAGTCCGTCGCTGTCGCTGTTTTCCACTTTATAATCAACTTCAACATCATCACTTTGAAATCTATAAAAGTCACTTTCTCTAAACTTATCCATAAAATACGTCCTCATTATTTCTAAAACTGTGCGCCGCAGCGCCGCGATCTTTCCATTGCACGTGTTTCGTGTTGTGTTTTTTCCGGAAGCTACCATCGTCACTATTTCGATTAACTTCGGAAAAAATCGGCGAAAACATATCCTTGAATCCTATTGGTCAGTCTAGTGTGGGTTGTAGTGGCCCCACCTGTCACAGTCTCTGTTTAAATGTGAAAAACCGAGCCATTTCTAAAGGTCGTCAAATCTCATCTTTAGTGATACAGCGGAGGTGTCAAAAGTCGTCATTAAGGAAACAGGGGGGTCGTCAAATGTCGTCTTCATGGGGGAAAGAGTTAAGCTACAAACCACACTACAGATCCACTATATGCTTGATTTTAAAGCAGCCTGTATTTGTTTTTATAGATTTTCAGAGCTTTGCTGACATAACCTGCTACTGTCCACACACACACACAGCGGTAAAGTGGGTCAATGAGGCTCTCAGGATCAGATCGCTCGTTCTCTGTATGTGTGTTACGTAACGCTGCTGATGGAGCCTCTTTCAAATTAGAACTTAAAGCGCCATATTACTCTGTTTTCTGATCTATTTTATAATGTTTCCTCATCAAAAACAGACCTGGAGATGTCATGTGTTAATACAGGAAGTGCACCACTGTGTTTTTAAACTCCATACACCTTCACTAGAGTCATTTGGATGATTTCAGGCCTGGAATTGCCAATCACTACTGAACAAAAGGGTAAAAGTAAGCTGTTAACTTGAAAACTACCACAACATGACATCACAAGGTGGAATAGAGCATTTTGAGCTTTGGAAATGTAGGAAAATGAACAATAAAGACTAAATCAAACACGTGAATGAATCAAAACTCAACTCCAGGTCTGTTTTTGAAGAGATAACAACATTGAGTGTGTATACATGCACATCAGTAACCCGGTTATTAGCCATACCCCGGTTATGTCAGTATTCGGGTTACTGCGTTTACATGCGCACTGAGAAACCGGGATACTCATATTCGCGTATACATGATCAAATGGAGTATCCCGGTTTCTTGACATAATCTTACAAATGCGCAGGCGCAAAAATTAACTTAAATCAATTTCATAAACCAGGAAAAATACAAACCGTGAGCTCCTTTAGCATAAGAAGCTAAGGAGCTACGAGATCTCCCACAATCCACTGTGCAGATTCTTCATTAAAATCTTCTGCATAAATGAAACTCAACTTTACAACATATAAACCATAAACACTATAGAGCCACATCAGCCAGTTTGATCATATAATTCAGCTCTGATCACATTTGTTTACGTTTTACAGAAACAAAACTTAAGACCATTTGGCTAATTAGCATAAACTGTTAGCGGCGATAAAAACAACTCGCTCCTTGCGCCGCTGATGCGATCAGTTTCTTTTGGACTAAATGACACGACTCTGTGGATTATGTGTGTTATTTCTGTGACAGAAGAGGCGCTAATGATGGTAAGTGTGTTCCGTGCGTATAGAGTATAGGAGATAGTTCATGTTTTAGCTTTTCAGCGTCACACGAGTGCAGGTCGTACGAGTGCAGATTGTACGTGTGCAGGTTTAGCGCAGCTCTTTATTTTACAGTCATTTCACTCGTTTGGTCACTTTATTTATGTTGGTCAATTTATTTATGTGACTACTGTTGTGGTGAAAGGCTGGAAAGTGTCTTTTGGACGCATGTGCACTCAACTTTATGTTGCAGTAACCGGGGTACTGCGTTTACATGCCACAAGTATCCCGGTTACTATCGGAATAAACCAGCTACAGTAACCCGGTTTCTAATAACCGGGATACTGCCATAACCGGGTTACTGAAACCGGGTTACTGCGTATACATGCACCATCAAGAAACCGGGATACTCAAAAAACCCGATCATAACCGGGTTATTGATGTGCATGTATACACACTCATTGTAACATGACGTAAAGCTCACAAAAGTCAATTTGAAGTGTGCAGGGTTCCCATGCTCATGGAAATTTTGGAAAAGTCATGGAATTTTACTATTTTTCACGCAACTACAGCGTTCTGTTAAGTTCTCATGAGGCTATTATGAATTTGAATTATTTTGAATGTTAAAAAACTATAATCCCAAACCATAAGGTGAGTGGAAAGAGTTAACATTTCATATTTAGCCCTAAAAGTCTGATCAGTTCTACACAAATTCACTTTAGGTCATGAAAAAGTCATGGAAAACTTGACATTTTGAAAAAGAGTGGGCTTTAAAGACTTAAAGCGTGCTTATCTGAACAAATTTCAAATCTAATCGAAATCCTAATAATCGTTTTAAAAAATGACTTAGCATTTCAATTAGTTTTCAGAATTTTTCAGCTCTTCTTTTGTGCTTTTATCTGTATGAAAGTGTAGATGTGCCAGAAGTTTTGAATTAGAATATTTCAAGATGAATGAAATAACTTGAATAAAAAATTGTTGGAATGGAAATAATTGGGGAAAAACAGCATTAAATATGTGATAGGTGGGTATGATTTTATATTATGTTTCAGCATCTTTAATTGAGACTGACAAAATTAAAGTTGAGAAATTCAGATAAAAAAAAAAAAAAAAAAAAAAAACTCAAGTTGCCAAATTCAAATTTAAAAAATCAAGATGAGAAATTAAAGTTGAGAAATGCTGATTAAAAAAATAATAATAATCAAGTTAAGAAATTCAGATTAAAGAAATCAAATTGAGAAATTAAAATTGAGAAATTCATATAAATAAAAAATTTAAGTTGAGAAATTCAGATAAAAAAAAACCAAAAAAACAAACTCAAGTTGCCAAATTCAGATTAAAGAAATCAAATTGAGAAATTAAAGTTAAGAAATTCTGATAAAAAAAAAAAAAAAAAAAACACAAGTTGACAAATTCAGATTTAAAAAAAAATCAAGTTCTGAAAATCAAGTCGAGAAATTCTGATAAAAAAAAAAAATAATAATAATAATAAATTGAGAAATTCAGATACAAAATAAGTCAAGTTGCCAAATTCAGATTTTAAAAAAAAAGAATCAAGTTCTGAAATTCAAGTTGAGAAATTCATAAAAAAAAAAAAAAAAAAACTCAAGTTGCCAAATTCTGAATTAGAATTTTTTTTAATCTGAATTTCTTAACTTAAATTTTGTCAGTCTGAATTAAAGATGCTGAAAAGTCATATAAAATCATACCCACCGATCACATGTTAATGCTGTTTTCCCTCAATTATTTCCATTCCAACTATTTTTTATTCAATTCATCATTATTTCATTCATCCTGAGATATTCTAATTCAAAACTTCTGGCCCATCTACACTTTCATATGTTTGGCTTAAATCCTACATTTTTCCTCTCGCTGGATTCGGCCACAACACGCTGAGACACACTTCTACACTTTCCTGTGATAAAGCGTGATGGCCGCGGGCTGTTTCTTGTTGACATTGTGTGACTATAGCGAAACTTTCTTTATCATGTAGCTCACGTGGGCCTGTTTGTTTGTCCTCCCTCAGAATCAGTTCTTGGCAGCTCTGACCGAAAAGGACATCTTTGCCCATCTGGGTCTGGAGTACATGGAGCCCTGGCATCGGAACGCGTAGTCCTGCTCTCGTCTCCTGCCCCGCTCGTCCCATCTGCTCGAGTCTCTGCTGAAAATATGTAACGTGCTCTCGAAGTCCTGGTTTAGATCTGGTTTAGACCTGGTTTAGACCCAATTTAGACCCAATTTAGTCCATGTTTTAGTTTAGTCTTGCTCTCTGCGGCCCTGCTCATCAGATTTGCTCAAGTCTCTGCTGAAAATATGTAACGTGCTCTCGAAGTCCTGGTTTAATCCTGGTTAAGACCTGGTTTAGACCTGGTTTAGACCTGGTTTAGACCTGGTTTAGACCTGGTTTAGTCCTGGTTTAGTTATGATTTGGTCCTGGTTTAGTCTTGGTTATGTTTTAGTTTAGTCTTGCTCACCTTTAGGCTGCCCTGTTCATCCCATCTGCTCAAGTATCTGCTGAAAATATGTAATGTGCTCTCAAAGTCCTGGTTTAGATCTGGTTTAGACCTGGTTTAGACCCAATTTAGACCCAATTTAGTCCATGTTTTAGTTTAGTCTTGCTCTCTGCAGCCCTGCTCATCAGATTTGCTCAAGTCTCTGCTGAAAATATGTAACGTGCTCTCAAAGTCCTGGTTTAGTTCTGGTTTAGTTCTGGCTTAGACCTGGTTTAGTTCTGGTTTAGTCCTGGTTTAGTCCTGGTTTTTCCTGGTTTAGACTTGGTTATGTTTTAGTTTAGTCTTGTTCTCCTCTCTGCTGCCCTGCTCATTAGATCTGCTCAAGTCTCTGCTGAAAATATTTAACATGCTCTGAAAGTCTTGGTTTAGTCCTGGTTTAGTCCTAGTTCAGACCTGATTCAGACCTGGTTTAGACCCAATTTAGACCCAATTTAGTCCATGTTTTAGTTTAGTCTTGCTCTCTGCAGCCCTGCTCAACAGATTTGCTCAAGTCTCTGCTGAAAATATGTAACGTGCTCTCGAAGTCCTGGTTTAATCCTGGTTTAGACCTGGTTTAGACCTGGTTTAGTCCTGGTTTAGTTATGATTTGGTCCTGGTTTAGTCTTGGTTATGTTTTAGTTTAGTCTTGCTCACCTTTAGGCTGCCCTGTTCATCCCATCTGCTCAAGTCTCTGCTGAAAATATGTAATGTGCTCTCAAAGTCCTGGTTTAGATCCTGGTTTAGACCTGGTTTAGACCCAATTTAGTCCTGGTTATGTTCATGTTTTAGTTTAGTCTTGCTCTCTGCAGCCCTGCTCATCAGATTTGCTCAAGTCTCTGCTGAAAATATGTAACCTGCTCTCAAAGTCCTGGTTTAGTTCTGGTTTAGACCTGGTTTAGACCTGGTTTAGTCCTGGTTTAGTCCTGGTTTAGACTTGGTTATGTTTTAGTTTAGTCTTGTTCTCCTCTCTGCTGTCCTGCTCATTAGATCTGCTCAAGTCTCTGCTGAAAATATTTAACATGCTCTGAAAGTCTTGGTTTAGTCCTGGTTTAGTCCTAGTTCAGACCTGGTTCAGACCTGGTTCAGACCTGGTTTAGACCCAATTTAGACCCAATTTAGTCCATGTTTTAGTTTAGTCTTGCTCTCTGCAGCGCTGCTCATCAGATTTGCTCAAGTCTCTGCTGAAAATATGTAACCTGCTCTCAAAGTCCTGGTTTAGTTCTGGTTTAGACTGGTTTAGACCTGGTTTAGACCTGGTTTAGTCCTGGTTTAGTTATGTTTGTCTGGTTTAGTCTTGGTTATGTTTTAGTTTAGTCTTGCTCTCCAGCTGCTCATCAGATTTGCTCAAGTCTCTGCTGAAAATATGTAATGTGCTCTCAAAGTCCTGGTTTAGTTCTGGTTTAGTCCTGGTTTAGACTCGATCATGTTTTAGTTTAGTCTTGCTCTCCTCTTTCCTGCCTTGCTGAGCCTCTCTGAGAGAAATATGCTGCTTGCTCTTAAACTCTGGAAGTCTTGGTTTAGACCCGGTTTAGTCTTGGTTTAGACCTGGTTTAGTTTTTGTTTAGTCCTGCCCTGCTCAGCTCTTTGCAAGAAATATGTGGCATGCTCTCAAGCTTAAAATCTGGTTTAGACCTGGTTTAAATCTGGTTTAGACCTGGTTTAGACCTGGTTTAAATCTGGTTTAAATCTGGTTTTAGACCTGGTTTAAATCTGGTTTAGACCTGGTTTAAATCTGGTTTAGACCTGGTTTAAATCTGGTTTAGACCTGGTTTAAATCTGGTTTAGACCTGGTTTAAATCTGGTTTAGACCTGGTTTAGACCTGGTTTAAATCTGGTTTAGACCTGGTTTAAATCTGGTTTAGACCTGGTTTAAATCTGGTTTAGACCTGGTTTAGACCTGGTTTAGACCTGGTTTAAATCTGGTTTAGACCTGGTTTAGACCTGGTTTAAATCTGGTTTAGACCTGGTTTAAATCTGGTTTAGACCTGGTTTAAATCTGGTTTAGACCTGGTTTAAATCTGGTTTAAATCTGGT